AAATGTGAAAAATCTTAAAATTTCGACAAAATGATGAAAAATGAGAAAAAAGTGAAAAATCTGGATATTTCGACAAAATGATGAAAAAAGTGAAAAATCTTGAAATTTCGACAAAATGATGAAAAATGTGAAAAATCTTAAAATTTCGACGAAATAATGAAAAATGTTGAAAAATGAGAAAAAAGTGAAAAATCTTGAAATTTCATCAAATTTACAAAAAATGTGAAAAATCTGGATATTGTGACAAAATAATGAAAAAACTAAAAAATGTGAAAAATCATGAAATTTCGACAAAATGATAAAAAAAGTGAAAAATGTGAAAAATTTTGAAATTTCGACGCAAGAATGAAAAATGATTAAAAAGTGAAATATCGAGAAAATTATGAAAAATGATGAAAAAAGTGAATAATATGAAAAATCTCGATATTTCGACGAAATAATGAGAAATGATCAATAATGTGAAAAATCATGAAATTTCGACAAAATGATGAAAAATGTGAAAAATCTTGAAATTTCGACAAAATTATGAAAAATTTGAAAAATCTTGAAATTTTGACGAAATGATGAAAAAGGATGAAAAATGTGAAAATAGTGAAAAATGTGAAAAATTTTGAAATTTCGACGCAAGAATGAAAAATGATTAAAAAGTGAAATATCGAGAAAATTATGAAAAATGATGAAAAAAGTGAATAATATGAAAAATCTCGATATTTCGACGAAATAATGAGAAATGATCAATAATGTGAAAAATCATGAAATTTCGACAAAATGATGAAAAATGTGAAAAATCTTGAAATTTCGACAAAATTATGAAAAATTTGAAAAATCTTGAAATTTTGACGAAATGATGAAAAAGGATGAAAAATGTGAAAATAGTGAAAAATGTGAAAAATCGTGAAATTTCGATAAATCTACTAAAAATGTCAAAAATCTTGAAATTTCGACAAAAAGATGAAAAATGACCAAAAAAGTGAAAAATCTTGAAATTTCGTCAAATTTACGAAAAATGTGAAAAATCATTAAATTTCGACAAAATGTTGAAAATGATGAAAAAAGTAAAAATGTGAAAAATCTTGATAATTCGACAAATTCACAAAAAAAGTAAATATTCTTGAAATTTCGTGAAATTGACCAAAAGTGAAAAATCGTATAATTTCGAAAAATTTGCGAAAAATGTCAATATTTTTGAAATATCGAAAAATTGTCGAAGAAAGTGAAAAATTATGAAAGTTTGAAAATTTGGGTCATTGGTTATAGACATATTGACCAAAAAAGTGAAAAATAAAAATTTCATCAAATTAACGAAAATTGTGAAACATCTTGTAATTTCGAAAAATTTACAAAAAAAGTCAAAATTTTTGAAAGTTCAAAAAATTTAAAAAAAATTTGTCAAATCATGAAATTTTGACAAACTGACCAAAATGTGGAAAATATTGAATTTTCGACAAAATTAAATAAACAAGCAATATATTACAGACCTATCAGAGAAATAAGAGTAATTATAATAAATAATAATTACGAAAAGCAACGAAAAAGAATGTATTTAAGTACACTGATTGAGAATCGGCAACGAAGAACGAATACATATTTAAACGCAAAAAGTAAGTTTACAAGTTCCTTCGACAGTATTGTTCAATTACTAATTAAAGCAGTAAGATATAGATCCACGTTTATTGCACAGTGTCTTGCAAAGACTTTGTAAAGACTAACGAAAACAGTTTATCAAGATAATTTTAGATTATGTTGAAAAAAATTTATCGCATCTTTACGAACAAAGATGTCGATTATTACTGAAGCATGATATGCTGTATAGTCACAATTTTATCACTCTTCTAAAAACAGTTTGGATACTCTTTCAAAAATTAATGTTTTCCTGATTAAGGTCTTCCTGACGTTTCCTCCTCGCAACCTTGGCTTTAATTTCGCATCAGAATTTTGCGCTGTGAGATCATCAGCATCCGCAACACTGGTGAAAATCTGAAAAATAAAGTTTACACACAGCAAAGATTCTTGGAATAAAATAATGCAACAATATTTTCAGTACTCATCTTACTGAAGCTTGAGACATAGGCCATCAATGACTTTCTATTGTAACACCTCACAAAATCGATACATTAAAGGAAATTTTTTTAGATTCCGATTATAAAGATACATTTTTATTTAAGAAAAATTGAAACTCCGAAAACTTCTTTGATACAGAAAACTAAATATTTGAATTGAATGCATTACTTAGTACTAGACAAGCATTGGTATAATGCTCCTTATGTTTGACACTGCACAAAGCATCAGGCAACAAAACAGGATCGGGTCTAAGCTATATCTGTAAAATACATGAATATAATTATTAGAATACTGACATCCTTTTACGCATGAACATTTATGCTATTCACATAAATATATAAAAATCATTAAATGAGAATGTTTAAGCAACTGTAATTCAGTAAAATTTGAAATTAGTTATTTCAAAACACTCCAACCAACTTGACAGTAGCTAAAAATGAAACAGTTAATAATGATATATGGCTTCAATAAACAATAAATAAACTATAAGATGATTCAAACACGTTTTGATAATCCAAATTAATATTACACTTGAAGAATATACGCTTGAGGGAATAGCAAAGACTTTCGTTTAGTCAATATTCCACAGATTATGACATATTAATAACTTTTTATTTGTATTTTTTTTTCGCAATAATTAATTCTGGATTAAAGTACTTTCGTATATCTGACTTTAATACTAACTGATCGCTTCCAGGCTGCCTTCGCGGGTCTCGCACTCAGTTCTAAACCACTACCTATCCGCTTTGAACCTCGCGCCTAAACGTCATTTGGCGTAGACCTAAAACCCGCTTCTTAGGCCCCGGTCACATATGTCCCGCGTACGCTTGCGGACGAATGCGGATGAATCACGTGATTTCAGTGTAATCGCTAGAAATTCCTAGTTCTAGTTACTAATACCAACACTCGCAACACATGATTAAATGTCGCTAACTATGAATGAACAAAATACAGTTTCTTAACCTCAAAATTATTTTACCGTTAACATAATTTTTATTTTTTATTGCATGTTTCTTACCTACTTAATAGCATCACAATAGCACAATTATTAAAAAATAACAATCGCGTCGACGTTAAACAAGAAGTTATCGCGTATCTTGCTGCTTTAATGCTATAGCGTAAACGAAAACTGTTGTTTGCTCAGTTAGAGACATTTAATCATCTGTTGCGACTGTTGGTATTAGTAACTAGAACTAGAAATTTCTAGTGATTGCACAGGAATCGCGCGATTCGTCCGCAAGCGTACGGACATGTGGCCGGGGCCTTAAAGTCTATTTATTTCATCCTGCACATTCATATTGAAACGCGTTGTATATGAAATAAACGCGACGAAGATACCTTATATGAAGTATCAGTGGACGACGACTTGAAGGCAGTCTGGAAGCAATCTTGAAGCGATGCTATTAAGGTCCCGGTCACATAGGTACACCCAACGTGGATTGAATCGCGACCCCCCCCAGTTAGGTTGGTATGAGACTATGAGTGCTACTTTCAGTCCGTAACAGGTGGTTTTTAGATCGGCCATAGTATAACGCTCGTTCTTAAATTATATAATTAAAACCTAAAATCAAATAATCATGCATCTAAATTCATTGTTCGGCAAACAATTAATTTTAAACCTAAAAACAAATTAGTAACGTTTTAGCTTTTTATCGTATCTTAAAACGAATTTTCATTTTTGAATTTTCCCGCGGTTTCTTCGTTCCGATGCAACGACGGAATTCTCATACCAACCTAACTGGGGGGGTCGCGATTCAATCCACGTTGGGTGTTCATACATACAGATGCGGACGGATACGGACGCGAATCGCTACTCTAGTAACATCACTAAAAGTATCTAGTTTGATTATTTAGTACCAACACTACCGTTAGTGAGCAAAAGTGACTGTTGTTTAAAACTGTAGCGCCGAACGTACCACATTTAATGTTCAAATGTCAGGTCTACAATTTAATTTTCAAATTCTCATGAATATTGCTTATTGATGAGTATGCTAATGTAAAAAAATGTTTAGGATGATTAATACATATCATTAATATATGTTTTCTTCTTCTCATACATTCAAGTACTTCTATAAAATTAAGGTCTAATTCCACTAATTGTAGTTGAAAGTCTATCAATTCTCTATCATTTGTCATCTTATAGACTGCAATAATGTAAAGGTTAGATATAGGCATTCGTTAAATGTGGTACGTTCGGCGCTACAATTTTAAACAACAGTCACTTTTGCTCACTAACGGTAGTGTTGGTACTAAATAATCAAACTAGATATTTTTAGTGATGTTACTAGAGTTGCGATTCTCGTCCGTATCCGTCCGCATTCATACGTAGCTATGGGACCGGGGTCTGAATGCCGGAGGCGCGGATTAACGCCACACTATACACAATGACTTTCGCAACACAATTACAATTTTATTTAAAACTCCATCGTTTATACAGCTATGACCGAGATGCTATGGGAATGCCGGCTGTGAATCTTGATCATAGTTATATAAACAATATAGATACGATACAACTTCATGAAAATAAAATTTTTTGTAGCGTCATCGGATTCTCATCACTGGCCCCAAGCCCAACCCAACCCAACCCAATAGCAGTCATGACTTTTGACGTACTGTGAACTAGTCACTATACATCACTTATTGACCAAATAGTTTTAACATAAATAAACTTACAAAATTAAAAACAAATTTATGTACGATTTTAATGCGTTGAAAAAAGATATTATCTTTCAATAATACATCAACTTTAATCATTAGTTACAATAAAAAAAAGTAATATCAATTTCCAAAATTACGAGTTTCGGATATTAGTTGCTCAATGTTCCGCGAGTAGCCGGCAGCGTTGTGTAGTGTGTAGCTGACGATCTTTCTCCTGTTCGCGAGGCTCTGAAACTTTGGTAAGGAAGGTTTTATGAAAAATGAATCTTAAATAATCGCTACCATCGCGGAAATACCACCGCATATTTCATCGTAAAACGATGTTCAATTATTCTAGTTTATTTCGCAATCGGTGGTTTTAGTGCTTGACTTCATATTTTGTTTACATTTAATGATTAAATTGTCTTGTTATTTCAAGGTTATGACATCATATTTACATTAAGCCAAAAGTGTTGCTTTTTGTACGATAAGTAGTTAATTCGTCTTTTTTATTGTAATAACTGTTTAGTGAAATTAATTTTTATTCATTGCCGATTGTTTATGCGTGTTTTTTGTTGAGCAGTGCGATATGACCTACAGTACTACTACTTACGTGTAAATGACTTATTCTCTTTCTGTTTTCTTTGTCTTTCGTCGACAGCTTCAAAATGGGTAAGCGAAATAATATGATCCCAAATGGCCATTTCCATAAGGATTGGCAACGGTTTGTCAAGACTTGGTTCAATCAGCCAGCTAGAAAATATAGAAGGAAGACGAATCGCGTCAAGAAAGCCCGAACAGTTGCTCCACGGTATGTTTGAGACTGGCATTTTCCACAAAATTAAAAAAGATTTGAATCGCTTCCCATTGTTTTATTTCAAATATCTTTCTTTTAGACCGGTCAAGCTGCTCAAACCAGTAGTACATTGTCCAACAATCCGTTATCATGCTAAGGTGCGAGCAGGCAAGGGATTCACTCTCGCAGAATTGAAAACTGCTGGTCTCCACAAAAATTTCGCAAGGACAATCGGTATTTCTGTTGATCCAAGGAGAAGGAACAAGTCTGTCGAGTCGCTCCAACAAAACGCACAGAGACTCAAGGAGTACAAATCTAAATTGATTTTGTTTCCATTGAACGATAAAAAGGTATGGTTATTCGTCTGAATATTTAATTAATAATTTCTAGTTTGAACAAAGTTATTTTTACTACGCAAAGTTCAAAGTTATTGTTTTGAGACTAATTACAGTCTATTAAATACCTTTAATCATTTATTTACTTTGATATCTTTATTTATTAGTTCGTTATGCTGTATATTAATATTTTGTCTGATTATATAGGTGATTTTTCAACGTTAATATTCAATTTTATTCACAGATAAAGAAGGGAGAAGCTACACCAGAGGAATGCAAGGTAGCCTCTCAAGTAAAGGGAGAAGTCATGCCACAGGGACTACATCAGGCCGGAGCCAAGGCAAAGGCTCGTGTGATTACCGAGGAGGAGCGTAAATTCAATGCTTACATTACCCTCCGTAAAGCCAGGGCTGATGCCAGGTTAGTTGGCATTAGGGCTAAACGTGTCAAGGATGCTGCCGAGAATCCAGATGATGTAACGAAACTCGCAGCAAAAGACAAAAAAGCTAAGAAGTAAATATGTATAGAAAAAGTAATAAATGGAATATTTGTTCAATTTTTTGTTTGTTGAATGATCATCTCGTTCTGTTTTATACAAGTAATTCAATGCAGAGGTTTTTAGTATATGAAAATAATTTATTTCTTGTACTTGCTCGCAAATCTATAAAATATATCGATGAATAATATATATAAACATTAAATTAATTTTAAAAACAACGAATAGGAATTAAGGTTCATAATTTCAGTATACAATATATATATATATAAATTATTACTTTTTAATCATTTGATAAATCACTCGAATTGTACGAAGGATAAAAGAAAATAGTGCTGAAGTAATGCAAATTGACAATTAAAAAATGATTTCTCTCTCGTTTGTAATAATAATATTAAAAGTGCTATCTTAATGTTTCTTTTTATAACAACGAACCTGTAGTTTTCGAATTCGCGCGCTCTACTATTCGCTTGAAAATCATCTCGGAAAATTAACCTTATAGACGTATACAATCGATTCCTTGAAAAGGCTTTAGAAGAGAAATTTCACATTCGCTGTCTGCGTAGTTGGTTATCGAGGTGTGCAAGCTGACGTAGGAACCCTTCATTTGGACCAATCTCTCGGCTAAGTCTCACCGTACGAATCGCGTCTTTCGCCAGCATTGCTTTTTTGATCATCAAATAAGCGATCACGCACGTCGCGCTTCTGGACACACCCTGGACACAGTGCACAAAAACTCGACCTGCAGAAGCAAGAGCCAAAGGCGAGTTGACAATCTGACGTTGATAGTGGAACTTGCGTGTTGCTACTTACCGCCAGACGCACAAGCGTCTTGGATGAACGACGCTGCCGTATAAAAGTACTGGCTGATGTCCATGCTCAGCCGATCCTTTATTTGCAAGCCAAGGTACTTGACGTTGGTGTCTTTGTAGTAATTGCTGTCCGTATTTACCATGCCGAATGCCTTGCCCTCGGCTGCGTTCAGCACGTGGGTTATGCCTATCCTCAGCAAGTATTCTTTGTTTTTGGCAGTCAATCTAGACGCACAAAACTGTTTCTTTAATCGACTCCTACTGTTACATTCATCGAATGATCATCGACAGTTTCGATCGGGATCGAACGGTAGCTCTATCGGTTTGTATTCGGATGAAAATCAAAGCTATTGCTTACCCGTCGCCGATGTAAACACGAGGAAAGACTTCGTCACAGTCGATGCACTGCTGAGCGCGATGGTACTCGTCTTCGTCGACATTCGGGTCAAAGCCAGGTAGCCGTTTGAAATCCGTCTTCGTGGTTCGCAGCGCGTCTAGTAGGTTATCCATCGACGTCTCTCCACCGGGTAGCTGCTTTTGAAAGTCCTTCGGAAATGGATTTTTTCTTTTCTATTATCCAGGCGCGAGCTTGTATCGAGATTACTTAATTTTACATTACCAGGGCGATACAAGCGAGCTTGATTAGTTTATCAATTTTCAACCGAGCCTCCGTTGTATTACTTTATTTGGAAAGGCTACTTTCAAGGCGAAAAAGCTTTCAAGGGTGTGCGGGTTGTACACGTGTTGCAACATTTCACAAAAAAAAGAATATTCAATGACAGCCAACGAGAAACGATACATTGCGCGCGTCAAATACTTCCGTTTAAAGTAATATCTTTACTAAGGTTGCCAACGACAAAGTTTACGTCGATTGCACAACGCTGTATAGTAATAATACGAAACGAAGTGCGCTTCTTAATTGATTATACCGACGGAGATGTATTACATAAAGCGACAGTTTCGTGCTCTCAATGAAAATTTTTTTTGCCATTGCTCGCGATTATCGACCAATTATTGACGCTGTGCTTATCAGAAAAAAGGCCAGCTCCAGGCTTTTTTCCAAGCAATCGAATAAACGTCTGGCCATCGTCTCTCTGCCTATAAGCCCGATTTCATTCGCCGCGGATTGACGGAAAAAATGAAAGGTTTTTCGCGGGCTCAGTCACTCACTCGGTCCCTGTCCCTCCACGTGGTCTTCATGGTGCACAAGTAAGCTGCTCAGCGTCGACGTTGCTGATTCACGAAACAAGCGTGCGCAAAGGAGAAGCCGTTTTATTTTCGAGAGAAAGCGAAGGAGGGCTCGGATTGCGAAACGCGCTCGTACGCGATAAAGTGGGGGAGTATAGGCGTCGATCGCATTCCCGTTCGCTTTTGTTTACAACGCCCCTCGCGCGCGCACGCGAGACTTCATTTTCACACGGAAAATGCACCTTATTGGCGCGAATGTTACTTGTCTGCGAATACTTGCCTGAAAGCGCACTGCAAGTGTTTGGGGAAGAGCGGCGTTCGCCATATGCGATTTAACTGTCGACCTCTGCGACCAAGCTTTTTTTTTTCTTTTCGCTGAAAACTGTATTATCCCATTACAACGCTACATAATCGCAACTCGATAGTTGGCAGTATTTTTCTCACGCAAACTATGTGTGCACTCTGGGTGTGCACAGGTACGTACGTACCTACCGTTCGAGTCGACTGCGAGACTGCCATTACACGCCGACGGAATAGCTCTGGAAAAGCTATCGTGAAGTGAAAATGGTCTTCCTACAAAATTTTTTTTCCCGTCAGGGCGAGTTAAGCGTTTCGCGAACAGCACGGAAAATAACGACAATAATTATTATTCGTTAGATCAGAAAACCAAATCTCGATTCGAAAAAGGAAGATGCTTAATCGCTAATATCCTGAATCATTAGCGCGTACCAGATGTCGATTATCGAGTTTGTGTTATATCACCCGACAATAGAGGGCTACGCGCACGAATTAATGACTACGCACGATAATTCGGAGCAATTAGGATGCCGCAAGTTTGACTGGGAAATGATGTGTCACGATTGATTTGCATCGACACTAGGATGGTTTTATTATGCAATTTATGTCGAACTTGCGAACTGGTCTTTTTATTGGGATAATTATAGGTGCGTTACGCAATCATCACGCGTCAGGAATTTTGGAGCAGTCGCAGCGAGATTTTCGAGTTTTTAACTCGCTAACAACGACCAACACGACGTGACAAAAATTTGAAAATTTTGGCAGGTATACATTCAATCTGGTGCGATTACGAATAGCATCAGGAAAAATTTGACGTTTACAGATGAAATACAACTCTGAACTTTAACGTCACAGTAATAAATCGATCTAGTTGAGCTTTCACTGCCAAAGAACAATCCAGCTGTCCAGAACACATCAATCCTTGGATTCCCCATTCAGAAGTTGTCGAGGAAATTCCGAGTTTCCACGCCATGAAACACGATATTCTACAAAAGCCATATGCATGCAAAGACGCTCCACGATGAAAGTTTAGCTGGTACAACGTTGGCGAGTTAGAGGCGCGGCATCGCGCAAATTTTTCAACAGCGAAACCGTTATAACGCAGAGCGAATTTTGCGAGAGCGATGATATTCCGTTGAGCCACTATCGCACAACGATGGCAAGCGATTGCCGTTACGTGTACACTCGCAATGACTCGGACAAGTCAATGCGAGGTCGTGCGGTATGGTTTTACTGTTAACACCGATTAGTCCACGAATGGATAGTTGTAGATACGGACTCGCGGAGGCGATGGCTATTGTCGCGCGTACTGCAAACGAGCACACAAGTGTGCAACTTACCGGAACTCTGCTCGTATAGCTGTACGTGCGGTGCTCCATGACGATGACAACAAACAACCTCGACGATCAGCCAGCGACTAAAATCGCTTCTGCCGAACTGCCTGCGAGTCGCGCCAGATGCGTGCACACCGTGTACACGCGACCGGTAAGTATCTATTTCTCCGCGACACCGGTAAGTGTTTATTTCTCCGCAACCGAGTGAAACTGCGCAATATAATACAGTGTGCGCGGAGTTTAGTTTACTAGATGGCGGTGGGTCTCTTAGCTGAGACTTCGATATGCCAAAACGCAGTGCGCGCGGAGACTGTGGCGCCTGCGCCGTTTCATGCACTCCCGCCTTGATTCAGCTTTTTTTTTGGATATCTTTTCTTTTTTGATTCCGCGTGTGCATGCGACGTAACGCTCAACTACAGCTGTAATGCGCCCATACCATTTAGCTAGATACTTCTTGTGAGATTCTGCAGATTTTAAAAATGTTGAAATAATATAACAGCTGTGATTTTTGTAATTTTCTCGTATTAGAGCTATATTTTTTAGATGAAAATTGGAACCCATCCATGAAATTTTTTTTTATATATATCTGAGCAGTTTTCAATGGATTAAGTTAAATATATGTTGAAATTTTCATTTTTATGAAAATCTAAATTTAATTGTGAAATTGTAACTTTCTACCGACTTTGCTGACCACATTGACCAATAACGTAGTCAACTCTAGGTCACCGCCAACCTTGAACTTAAATATTAGAAATGAACAATTGTGCTTTTAAATTTAACATATTTCAAGATTTTTTACTTTCAAAATCAAACTTTTGTTTTATACGATGTTTAGCTGTGTTTTTTACGATGATAGAACGATGATATTTAATTTTAAACAACACTGTTATTTTCTTTGATTTAATTTGAAAAATATGAAAGCATCGTGTATTAAAGTATCCTCGATAGTCACTAACAAATAATGAATATGAATGAAAAATTACTAAATGTTGCTATAATAATGTAAAAATTTTTCATACTATTTAATAAAATTTATTTGCGAAATCAAGAAAAATAATTTATCATCTAAATTAAAACTAAAAAAAATACTTAACGTCTCTTTTTATAAACATATATATATATATAAATATATTATACTTGACAAACGATGCGATTTCTGATCTATAACTTATTCCTATATGTACCACAAATATCAGCCAAGACAATAAAAACAATCTTTGATCGAATGACCATCATAAATAATTTAAAAGTTATATAATAAATCAGATAAAAAAGGGCAATAAATTACATATTTAATCGGCATCATTTGCCTTATATTAAAATTCTTGTTCATCTGTACAGCGTCTGTTGTTTGACGATGATTAATTATTAATATACAAAAAAGAAAAAAATTACAAGATCTTTTGAAGGTACTCGTCGAACAAGTATGTTGCCAAAGCGGCGTCGCGATTGAGCATATTCTTGAGGTCGGATGTGTGCCCAGCTAAAGTACGCACAGCTTCGGATTGTGATTCCATGAATTCTTCTTCAAGGTAGTGAGCAATTGCAGCGTCGTTGTGTTGCTTGGCGACGGTATGCAGGCGAAGAGCCTCCGAAGCAAGTTGTTTCTGCGAGTCCAAAGCCTTTGCCAGGCTGTGAAGTTCATTCAATTCGAGAACACGAGTGTCTTTGCCCTGAAAGCAATAATATTTAATTAGATATTTTTTTGCCAAGACAGAAAATTAACATTGTTATTTTTCAAAATTTACAAAATCATGTAAAAAAGATATAAAAATTCAATAAAGTTCTTATCACGTGTGTGGTAGTCTTAAACAATCAAAACTCACATATTTATTTTTCCAGATATTTAGTTTAAGAAATTAAAAATCAACAACAGTGAAGATAAATCTTTCTTAAAATAAACTAAACTTTTTGATAAATGAAGTAAATAAATGGAAATTATGTTATATTATATAAAATTAAAAAATCAATTATTCGAATATATACTTATTTCACACTCCAAATTGAATAAAACTTACAGTCTTCTTGAAGTGTGGTAATTGGTTGAAATTCATCCTACCACCACGCTTAGTGATGTACTTGATGATGTCAATAGCTTTTTCCCAAGCTTTGTCAGACATTTTCCTGTAGAGATCCTTGAACCCAATACGATTTGCTTCGTAATTGCCAAAGTGGGTTGACATCAATAAGAACTCGAAGCTGGTCTCGATATGGCCATTGGCATAAGATTGGAGGTCAGTCTGCAAACCTTCAATGGCTCCATACCTTGCATTACAATTTGGTAGGACTGGATCATCGGTAAAAGTTGTTTTTGGACTACATGCAGCCTCAACATCATTGTAGCAAAACTCTGCTGATGCAGAGATTAGTAGTGTTGTGAAAATTCCTAGTAGAAACATCTTGCAATAAAACAAAACAAGATTTTGATTAGAACTCATGAAAATTAATCAAGAATGTACAACGTATATATAATTAATAATCAATGTTATTTGTGATAAATTTTTGCAATTAAATTCCTCTGTAAAATATTTAATAGTTTTAAATAAACGTTTATAATTCAGGAATTCCAGATAACAGAAAACTACTTGAAGTGTTGACGATTCACAGTAGACTGTTTATCTTCAGTGTAAAAAATATATGTTCTGAGGTTATATAACGTTCACTCAGTGCAGTAAGAATTAAAATTAAAGAGGGAACAATGATATCAGTTCGATTCAAAATTAAATTGTCAAAAAAGATAAGTTATATATCACTAAACTAGCTAACTATTCAACGCTATCTTTGAAACCAAATTACTCTATGAACTAAGAATTGCCTATAGATACAAACTATAAGTAAGATTAATAATCAATCAAGATCGTAAATCGTTCTTTATCAACAATCATGCGAACTCCCGAAGGAAGCGCGTGAACAGGAATATTTTTATCGTACTAACTCACTGCGCTATCTTTTTCCTCTCTCTCTCTCTCTCTCTCTCTCTCTCTCTCTCTCTCTCTCTCTCTCTCTCTCTCTCTCTCTCTCTCTCTCTCTCTCTCTCTCTCTCTCTCTCTCTCTCTCTCTCTCTCTCTATGTAACGTTCGAGTTTGTGCAAAATGAAAAAACAAAGTGACAAGTCGACGGTAAAACTTCACCAAAAAGGCAGAAATTTGCACTGCAGAAAATTTGCAGCTTAATTAATAAAAAAAACATGAATGTTAGAAGACGATCAGAAGATATTGAACAACGATGTCAAATAGAGTATGAATACTTACCTTGTCGTTAGTGACGAATTAGGTGTCTAGCAAAAAGCGTGAATACTCTCGCTTCGACGCTGTGCTAAACAATGACCAGAAAATCAGCTTGCGCCTTGTTTGCTGCGTAGCTCCTCGTCCGGATAGCCATAGGAGGGGAAGGCCACGTTGCCGGATCGCGCTTCGCAAATACGTGGCGATATATTTAAAATATTGAGAACGCAGTGAATTTTCGAGATTGATTGTCTTTATCGATCATGATTTATTGCGATGATTACTTTAGTGCTCATTTTTATCGAAAGGGATTTTCGAATTTTTTTTTTTTTTATCGAAAATTGCTTTGTTCAGAACAAAGCACATGACAAAGAAATTCGAATGATTTGTAAATGAGTAATATTTTGATCATTAATCATTAGATGTTTCCTGAGTAACAATTTTCAAGATAAGTGATGTAGCAGTTTCCCATACGCGATTCACGATGCATTGAGCATGATCTAATGCAAAATCATGAGACAAAAAAATTTATATTAAAGTCAGGACGTTAGCTTAACTATAATTAATAAAGAATGACGTGAGTCATTGCAGACGTTGTAAAGTTGAAAAGATATCGATCTAACTTTTGGAACGATATCTGCATCGTCGATAAATTTTATCTACTAATCATCAGTCTAATTAATTTATATAGAATAATAAATTAAATGAGTTTATCGTGATCTGGAAAATAATGATAACAGTCAATATATAGATAAAGTGAAATAAAATCGCCAGGCAATCACGATTAAACGCCACCGGTATATTCAAAGTTCAATGCACCTAATTTATCGTATAATGACTAACTAGTTAGTAAAGAAAAAATGAAAAATTAGGAATGGTGTCCATTTTGAAAGATACATAAAGTAGACTATCGTAGTACAGATTGTTCAACAACAATGACTTAAGTTTACCGTAAACCGTAATTTAAACAATGAGACGATAATTGGGCGTAAATGTTGTTTTTATACTTTTATCGTAAATATGTTTTATATCTATGACGATCGTTATTTTGTTGCTCGAATCGTAATCAACTAAATCCGGTGAATAATATTCCCTGCGAGTATAAAATAACAAGGTATTACGTGTCAGTCACAAGTTTATTTATGAATATTATCGCAATAAAAGATTTACGATAGCTTGTCTGTGTGTGTATGTGTGTGTGTGTGTGTGTGTGTGTGTGTGTGTGTGTGTGTGTGAGCGCGCGCATTTGTATTCTATAAACTATATATCATATACGGAAGTGGCAAATTTGCGCGCTTATTCGACAAAATTATTTGGTGATTAAGGCGAAATACTTAGCGAGGCATGCGTCACGGAAAATAATGCCAAATTGTGTAATATTATGCGATTTGTAAATAGAAACTACGTAATGTATGAAATGTCCGTTAGAATGGTATGCACAAGTTTGCAAATTTTATTGGCAAAATAAGATTTTTTTACAGTTTAAAAATTATCTTTTGGTGATATGGATCATTTTTCATATGAATGCGTATTAACTTTTTTGTAGAATTTTACCAGAGACTTTGACTTTTGGAGCGTACATTCCAACCGCCTGCAACGTGTATGTGTGTGTGTGTGTGTGTTTGTGTGTCGCAAACTGCCCTTTCACAGTGGGTCTCACTCTCAGTTCAATTCCTTCGCTCCCATGCTTTCTCTATTTTCTATCGCCTTTTCCTAAACGTTAGTCGCTTTCGCCAGACACGTGCGGACCAGATGTTAGCGGCAAGCGACCTTGTCTCATTGTCTTTCTGAAAAAGAATGGGAAACTAAATGGGCGTCCAAGTTCCTAAACCTTCGACAGTCTAACTTTTATAAATCATCTCGTTCAAAACTCTACACTCCTTCCTTACATGAGGCGTAAATGAGAGAGACCCTAAAAACGTAAAATTTATTAAAAGAAAAAGAAAGAATCCATTGGACACTTGACAGACTCAATTGCAAAAACGAAACTCAATTTCATCATTCAAAAACGGCAACAAAACATGACAAGGAAACGTGGCAACATCGCTAGTATCGAAACGCAAAGAATATTCCAGCGGAAAGGTCTTCCCCTCTAGCCCCTCACCAACGATAAACAACCCCCACCAGCTACTCAACGAACAATACGCGCTCACATTTCGTCTTACTTGCTGCAGTTACGGGACACGCCAGTGTTCTTGCTTCGCGTGAGTAATACGCACATCGTCGCTAAAAGGTATATTTCATCTAATTAGATAAGTAATTTCGTAGAGTGGCCAATGGCCATCTGAAGCTCTCTTACTTCTCAATCAAGCCTCATCGCGCAAGCAAGTACGAGTCGTCGTCGATCGTCGCAGCCTTCTATGCCAGTGTGTATAAAGGTTGCTTCGTAACCAGTTACACGCACATCTACCACTATTCTTATACAAACTTTTTGAGATTTCATCGAGATAACAAACAAACTCGAAAAGATGAAGTTCGTTCAAGCCTTTGTCCTCGCTGCTGTTTGCATCGGCTTCTCCGCCGCCGATAACCTCAAGTGTAAGTATATATTTTTTTTAATTTTGACGGTGGTTGACCTTGAGATGTTGGCAGAAAATTTATTTAGTCCTTAGTAATTTAGGGATTGATTGATATGGCAACGTAAATCTTTGAAATTGTGAAATTTAGCGTTTTCATTGATTCTCTTGCGGTTTAGTTTAATGGTAGTCACAATCGTAAGCATTTTATATAGGTAGAATTAATAATATTCCATTGAGTTTGAGATATTTTAATGAAAGTAAAGAATAACGAGAGAATTAATCCACATTCTGTTTTGTAAGATTATAATCTGCAATGTCATAGCACAAATATTTAGAATGAATATATTCTGTTTAACTATAAAACTTACCTTTGTAAAGTTTCTGAAAATTTATGGATAAGTTGAAGTTGAGATTAAAATTGTGTGACCATCGTCACAAAACCAATGCAGATAAAGCTCATGTATACAATAATAAAAATCATATGACTCACTGCAGTCAATACAGACAGCGAGAAAATGGAAAGTAGAGGAAAGCAAAGGTAAATGTTAATTTAGTGGCACTAGTACCTTGAATGACAAAGGCCCTTTGTATGTTATACTGTGTCATATAGTTGTAAGAAAATATATTTGTCCAATGATTGATTTGCCATCTGTGACTATTCTGTTTCATTGGTATGTGCTTTGCAATCTATCTGCTCACTAATATAATCGCTACATAACTTTTAAACATTGATTTAATACAGGAATTTTTTTTTTCGTATTGATAGACTAGTTTTTTATTATAGCTAATTATTCTTCTGGAAGAAATTTGCTAATATACTATTTAACAAAATATGGTTTTCTCTTTTTCTCATCTACAAATGAATCATGTATGTTTCAATTGATCCTAAAGAGTTAAAATATAACACTGAATTAAAGATAGTGTAAGATTATAATTAGTAGATTCTTTACAAGTAAAAATTAAAAATGTTACAAACAAATACTTTTTTTAGCAATCAGGCTAATATCAAAAGAAATTATTATCTTTTCTTATGTCATGACATATTATCAGTGATCAATATAACTCTAAATTAATGAGTACAAAAATCAAAATCATATTCAGTCTAATATATTTTGTTTATCTTGAGTTTTACTATGATCTGATAATTTAATAGTATTGCCATAAAGAATTTTTTGATAATCCAAGAGATAAATATATTAAAATTCTACTAATTAAATATAACACGAACTAAACTTCTTTAACAATTTCTATAAAGTTTATCTCTCTACTTTGTTTGTTAAGAAACATTTACGTATTCTCTCAGTGGAAGAACTGATTGTTTCTAGTTTTTTCAATGATAAATTCACACTCATAAATGAAAAGCATATGAATCATTGCAGGCTAACTTTTGTAACTTTACTTTATAACAATAGTCATGACTAATAATAATATTTCTACATTTACAGTTTTTTGCATGTACCTATAATACACTAGGATCCTTTCGCTTTTACATTTTTAAATTATGGATTTATGATCTGATTTCTCAGGCACAATCAAACCTGCTGAGGTACCACAAGCATGGCGAGATATGGTGAATCCTTGCATCAGGATTATGGAAAATCAGGTTAAGGTTGAAATTGAAGCTGCCATGACATACCTTGCTATGGTAAGATTTTTTATCAAATTTGAGATTAGATAATAAAGTTAGACTATATGTAGCTTTCAATAGAATATATTCAGATATATTTTGTAATCCGAATTACGTTTGACTTTCAATGAAATTTCTATTTTTAATTAGCAAAACATGTTTAAATTTGGAGTGTTTTCACTCGAGACAAAATTTAAATAATATTTCAAGAGATTGAAAGCATGCTTCACGATGTGCTAAACTCCTTTCTTAGTTTTTGTATTCTCCTGTAAACTAATTTTCATAAGATCTAATTCTTTGTATTTCTTTTTTTTACAGAGTGCCCACTTCGCGCGCGACATAGTAAACCGTCCAGGTTTCAGCAAGATGTTCCTGGAATCAGCTAATGAAGAGCGCGAACACGCGATCAAGATCATCGAATATCTATTAATGCGTGGCCAATTGACCAGCGACGTCAGTAAATTACTAAAGTTTCCGCTCAAACCAATCCGCGAGGAATGGAACAGCGGTGTCGAAGCACTTACCGATGCTCTTAACCTTGAGTCTCAAGTCACACGCAATATCCGTGAAATCATCATGACCTGCGAGTCGCCTAAGGACATTCCCTTCAACGACTATCACGTGAGTCTTAAATATCTTATGATTTCTATTGCAACAAATTAGTTAATTTTGTGTCAAAATATGGCATGAAACGAGCAAGAAAATACATTGCGAAATAAGCGTGGACGTAACTTAACTTTTTTTTTATCTCGAATAAAAAGGAATGCGAGTCGATAAGGCTATTTTTCTGTCGAAACGAATATTTGTTATTCTTGAGTTGTATTTTTACTGTTTCCCATTAGTAAAATAATACACAATTAAAAAGGTTTTGTTTAAACTTTAATTGCCATTGTCAAGTCGTTGAATCGATATAAAACATTATCTTTATTAGATGCTCAACAAGTAATTATTCTTAAAAAACTATTTTTAACGTTTTATCTAAGATTTCTTATAGTATTTTTCACATAAACATGTATACAAACATTTTTCATGTAAAGCGAATAATTCAGTCGATTTTATCTCAATAAATTTTTCTAATTTCATATTTTTCACTATAGTTGGTGGATTACCTTACTGGCGACTTTTTGGAAGAGCAATACAAGGGCCAACGTGACCTTGCCGGAAAGATCTCTACGTTAGGCAAGATGATGGCATCACATGGTGCTCTCGGAGAGTTCTTGTTTGACAAGAAGCTCTTGAATAATGAAATCTAAGGAGTTATTGTTTATGCAAATTTTACCAACACTGAACAAATTATAATGTAATTATATCAATCAGATAAGGTATAGAACAAAACCTTCGAGAACATGTTACAATCTTGTATTTTCCTATTTTCTTCCTTTGGTAACATATTTTTTTTTATAAAACGCACTGGTATCCATAGGATTTAGCAATGTGTGCTATAATTATAAGTCAGTTACTGTATAAAGAACATTTTATATACATAGTTTGTTGTTATATGATTGATTCTATACCGATTGTAAGAATAAAATATTTCAATGATTGTCTCATACATAAACAAATATGTTAATTTATTTCAATAGCCTTTCTTATCGCAAGTATATAGGTAAATAAATGATACAAACAAGATTTTCGTTCAATATACTTTAACAGTTATATTTTTATTATGCAGACTCATCGTAAATATTTTTTGCTTTTTCGTAATCATAGTTTTACAAAACAGTTTTTCACACTTATACCATACTGTACATGTTATTTTTCCTTTTAATAATCCTTACTAACATAAATGACGCCAGTTTGAAAATGTTTAAGTATGTATTACACTTCATTTTATAGTCAATCTGCTACAGATCATTTAATAAAAAGAAAAATGTTTCTTGACTATCCTGTTAAATCAAAAATATTGAAAACACCCGTCATTTACATGAAAATATACTAAAAACCAAATAATAGAAAACTTCCTGATGTATAGTTTTCTTTCGTTAAATTTTTTATTGTTGATAGTTTCGAACTGAATGTATCCGCGTCAAAACTGTATTAACTCAATACTTTCAGGCAAATCCTCAAAAAAGATTCAATTTTAACTGATTATTACAATTATTACTATTATATAATATATATCCTCAGGATATTTCTTATTTTTCCCGTATGTAATATTGAGTTCCCTTGATACTTTCTGCACTTATTAAAATCGTGTAATTCGATTATGTAAATGGTAAGAATTCATAAAATGTATGTAAATCCGCTTTTCTTCTTTTCTGTTTGACAATTTCAACAAATATATGTTCTTGTCCATAAAAAAGTTTGTGTTGGACCCTTTATGGATTTTAAATCTCATGTATATATAGAATGTAACTTTTAAAAATTATAATGTAGCTGGTTTTTTTCTTTTTAATTTTTAGGAACAAATGCTATTTTTGTTTTTGGCAGTGTCTCGGTTCTTATCGAAAGAAAAAATGCATAAATAATGCAAATTTTACAAATTTTATACTACACTTGCACCGAATATTCACGTTAGTGTTTGTTTGGTTTTTCATTTGCTCTTATAATTTATCAAATTTTGCAAATATATTACAAGCATGACATTTGTTTTTCCGTTACAGGTTTTTCCTCTTTTGTATGTTTGTAAATTCGTAAAATAGTCTTAAAAAAAATTTTAATCACATACAAAGTTGAAAGAACAAGAAAATTGCACTTTTTTCAGTTATTTTTTTTTTTTTTGAGATACGATATGGTAAAGTAATTTTACGACATTGGTGAACAAACGTTCTATTAAATTTTTCTTTTGCAAATTGAGCAACGTTACAAAAGAGAAGTATCACTTTTCTTTTTGTAAATAATTTAACTGCAATTTTGAAAAGCATGCTATAGTTGGATCAAATGCCTATCAAAATATCTACAAAAACTAGAAGCAATCTATTAAAATTCAATAGCACAGAAAGAATTGTAAAAACATCTTGGATTTTCTCAGTTACCAACGAATATTAATCTTATTTATTTCAATATATATGATTAAAGAGAATAAATAGTAAGTAACATTTAAAGAAGATAAATAAAGATGGAAATTTAATGATATGAAAATTTAACATTGCTCAATTTTTTACAAGTTGAATATCATCGTACAAAATGAGTCACATGTTATAATTCGATTTCGCATGGTTTTTCTCTGTAAATGGCAGAAGTATCAAGAATCGCGTGCAGAAAGTAATGTCACACTCAAACGATCCCTATGATATACATAACTGGAATTGTACTTCATCCTTGCAGTGCTAAGATTATTACCGACAAAAATAGTAACAAAAAAGGGAGGGCAAGATAAGGTAGATTTATTAAAAATAAGATTTCATTCGACTTCCGAGTTGGCCTTGCTTAATTGCCGACTACTACACGTCGACTGAGGCATGTCTTTCTCGCTACCGTTGGCACTTGAATCCGAGTAATTATTGTACTCAGGATTCGGCGGTGTTTTTATACCATCCGTTTTCGGGATAAACGTCGTCCACTCGTTCGTATGAATGTCTAGATACTCGATCGAGTTTAGGAAGTTTTTGCCAGAAAAACCTCCTACCGCGTACAGTCTGAAAATATAAAATCATTTTTCTAGAATATATTACAATAAAATTAAAATAAAGTAAGTTGTAGGAAAAGCTCTTTACCTATCGCCAACAACGGTGACTGCAACGTTAGCCCTCGGCATGCACATACTAGGTCCAGGAACCCACACTTGTTCTGCTGGATCATAAACTTCTGTACTTGTCAAACTATGCTGACCAGTCGATCCACCAACTGCGTACAATCTACCGTGGAACACGGCCAATCCACAACCACGTCTAGCGGTGATCAGAGATGGGCCCATACTCCAAGTATTCGTTTGTGGGTCATAAATTTCAATCGAGTTGAGACAATTCCAGGAGTCACAGCCACCAACTGCATAGACTTTGTTGTCGTAGGAACATACTCCAGCTTGATAGCGGCCGATTTTTAAAGGCTCGATGCTCGACCATACATTGGTGTCTGGGTCGTATACGTCGCATTGTTTGATTCCAGCCTTGAAAATCAAATCATTCGTTTTCGATAAATTACAATAATGAGCTGTGTTATACGATATAACGTTTTGAGTAATAAGCTTATACTCAAATCAACTAATTCCGTTCTAGAAACGTATTTTTTGATTACACAAACATTAGTTATTATTGCTTTTAAAAAAAGTTCTTACATCATTCGCAAGAATCAGCGTATTTAATAAAAAAATTAAAAAAAATAATAATAAATTACGTTTTAAAAAAAAAAACAATGCGATTAAAAAGCACGAACGAAGCTCTACCAATGTCAAATTGGCAGCGACAGCGGTAGGGGAGATTACTTTCAAATCAAATTACAACTCCCCAAATGCAACACGTTATATAGCGTTATATACCTGTCCATTCCAGCCGCCAATGCAATAGATTTTGTCGTCCAACGAGCAAACTCCCGAATTTGATCTAGCCAAAGGTAAATTTGCCACAGTCTTCCATTTACCACTCACAGGATCTAATACTTCAACAGTTTCCAATTCAGTTGATCCATTGGATCCTCCAATAGCATAAACTTTACCCTTGACAACAGCAATGCCAAATCGTCCACGAGCTTCTTTCATTGCTGCTACAACTTCCCATGTATTTGATTCGGGTACATATTTGTCGACAGTTTTCAGGCACTCAACTCGGTCGTAACCACCACAAACCAGCAAATAACCGTTCAGTTCGGCACAACCTACCGAACATTTACCAGCTTTCATTGTTGGCAGAGCACAATATAAATCTGGCTCGCTTGATGAACTTCTTTGGTCTTCTGGAATTCGGTGGTTGGTTTCTTGAGCTGCTGGTGACGATGGTGTATTCAAGCGTAACATCACCGATAGTTTTGTGAGAAGACCGTCTAGCGTCACGATGCTCAGGAATGTGTGCTCTGAAATTTGATTGATTTTTGAAGAAAATAATGTCAATTTATATTATTACGTATACCGTTATGTAAGTTAATCTGATTGAAAGCAAGATTGGCTCAGTTTGTTATTGTGCACGAGAGTGGAAGAGAAAACTATAGAAGGTTGCGTTTTAAGATAAAAGAAACTGCTAGCTGACAATTATAATTATCTATGATTACCAAACGGCTTATTAACAGTTTACAAATAACTATTTCTGAATAAAACGGTAAATGCAATTTTTTTTAAATGCATTATTTTCCGTTATTATCCGAGTCATAAGAAAACGTTACCTCCAACTTTACTGACGCCAATCAAATTCCAATCCGGTTCCAGCTGTTCCTCTACACTATCTTCGATACTACTGTTGTATATCAAAACTCGAGGTTTAGCAGGTTGCAAAACACCCTTTCTGCGACTCTTGTTCTGCGAAACTTGAGTCTTGAGAGACATTTTCTTGTAGTCTTGTACGATGTCAGTGTCACTGATGTCACCCGATGGCAGATCCGAACAATCTTGTAAACTGTTGTCGAGAGCTAAATACAAGAGATGAGTTTTCTCTGAAAGTTGCTGTACACTAGGTGGATGATCTTGATCGGTCATCAAACGTTTAATCCAATCCAAGACTAAACAGCACAGACTTTGACCGTTTACTAAACTCATTTCTTGCGTTGTTTGATATAGTACTTCGATTTTCACGTAGGGAAGAAATGACAGTACTGGATTGTTGCAAACATTCTCAAACTGAAAGAAAAATCAATGTATTGTTTAATTATTTAGATGAAATAATTTAAAATTCATCATTTTTTCATTTTTTAGTGATAATTATTGACTCGACAAAATTCAATTTACAATTGCAAAAAAATTATCTCTCGTTATATAACCAAGCAAACTTCAATTATAAACTTCACGTGTAAAAAACAAAATTTTCAAAAAAATTCAAACAGTTGACTTATTCTCATCAGATGCATCATCTCGTGTAGATAACGAGTAATACAATCACTCGACTTACGTTTTGGCGAATATAAGCATCAACTTGTTTGACAAAATTTTCGTTGGAGACGATACCAGGCAAACCACGAATTTCAAGGCATGTCTCTGGCGTCAACGATTCCAATAATTGAGCTGTACATTGGCCGGCTATTCGATCCATTTTCAAGTAGGCCGCTGCTACGTAAATTGATTTCATTTCAGCTGGTGTTATCTCGAGTCTGCAAAAAATCCAAGAATTTTGTTTAACTTTCCACGACACTACGTGAACTATGAAACTTGCTGTATCTCTATTTTATTATTTTTAGAGAAAAAATTCGCGGCTGTTGGCTACTACTACACGTATATATACGCCTCTAATCCAAAATAAAACTAAGCAGAAATATGACGTGCAACATAAAAGCTGGTAATTAATTTAGTTTTTTTCTTATTGCATAATTAATTGTTGTAGCCGACTCCTAAACGATAAATTGATTATATCTCAAATCCACGAAAGTTGATTACTACATATAGTAACGAAGTTCTTGTTGGTCGAAAAAATCGATCTACAAAACTTCGATTATACAAAATCAAAATAATAATAAAAAAACGAAAGCAAACCGTTCAACGTTTATTTTAGATATTTGGCCTCATGTATACCGAAATAAAAGGAAAAACATAGATAACTGTCAAACCTAGATGTATAGGCGTAATCGATGAGCTTCTGCAGAGCACGTTTGTTGATGTGATCGCTGAGCTTGTAGGTGACTTGTGGCTCGTTGCTACCTTGTTGAGTATCATTGCTAAACAGCTCGAATAAGTACGGAGAGGCCGCGGCTAACACTGCTCGATGTCCATGCACTTCGGCTTTACCGGCCTGCAAAATTTTCGTCGTCGAGAAAACGTTCATGCGAAGCGTGGCTTGTTTACAAGGGCAAATACGTATTGATTTTTCATTAATGAAACTTCGTTGGCAAGTCCATGGCCGTTATCAAGTAAGCTGCGTGGCTTGTACTTTCTAATTATACTTTTTTGCAAACAAAATCTTTCTTTTTGTTGGATCAATGCCGACCGTGAAAAATACATTCTGAATTAAATCCACGGCTGTTCATTCAATATCATTCAATAGCAAGACATTCCACGAGTTTCCTCGTGAAAGAATAACACGTGAAAATTATAACTTTTCCTTGTTTTATTACTTACGTAATTTTAGCAATCGAACGCTAAACAGAAAACAAATACTAAGTAGACTTACGTGCAGTATGACGTCGCAGAAATGCTTGTTCTTTCTCATCATGTTGAGCGAAGACAGAATTAACTGGGAGTGCTGTTCGTCGTGAAACTCTAGGGTAGAACTCTTGGTCAGACCCTCGGCCTCCCCGTTAGTCGAGATGGATGATACCATTTTTTATTCTTATTGCAAGCTGCTTCAACAAATACTAAAGGCTCATAACCAAATCGGGAATTTGCACTGCTCTGTCAGGTTGTACTGAAAAATGAAAAGAGTTTTCATTAGATTTTAGCGTTTGGATAAATTTCACTTTGTTTCATGGACTTCGCTTGCAAAATATCTGTCAGGTATGCTCTCATGTGGGTGTGAATCATTCTCCGATGAGGTGTTCCTGTCTTTTAATTAACGAAGTTTGAGCCATGTTCTTTTTCCGACCGCGTTCTCGAACGAAATGCAACATTTTTACGCGAGTGATAAAAATTAATCGCAAATCAGCATTCGCGCAGCAAAAAAAAGAGAATATATATTTATTTTTTTTGAGAGGGAGAGAGAGAGAGAGAGAGAGAGAGAGAGAGAGAGAGAGAGAGAGAGAGAGAAAGCGGGAGCTCGAGAAAGAAGTGGATGTCAATCACGAATATGCCGTCACGCGTGCTGCCGTTAAGTCGTCATAAAAAGCTTCGAGAACGAGCATTGAGCGTTTGAGCCTGTGCATTGATTGGGTTAACGCACTCGAGAACGTATGACTCCTCTCCAACGGCATCGAGCCAAAATGTATCTTTCGATAAGTGTACGAGATCTCATTATTTCTGTGCGTCGGCATCTGATAGGCAAAAGAAGCACAAACTACCGTTGATACGACTCGGTGCTTATTGCACAGGAACAACGAGCTCGCTTTTTGTCCCCTCACCCCGGCATTAACGCGCGGAAAAGCTCTTCAAGGTGAGCGATCAGGTTTGAATCAGACACGCCGAAACTCGAGAAATCTGGGGGCAAACCACGTGCGCCGGCTGCGCCGCTCTTTATCGAATAGCGTGGGTTCGTCGAGCGAAATTACAGCTGGTCACGCGCGAAGCTAAGCTGCGGATAGCGCATCGTCGGCATTCGGCTGATTTTCATCGGACAAGCTCGGGTTGCCGTTCCTACGGTTGATGGAGCTTTGGCGTTTCCCCCTTGACGCGATCGTGATAAACTGAAGGCGCGACGCTGGCCAGCCTTCATTGTTTAAGACGCCTTTGCTCGCAGCGACAGACAGTAAACTCGATTCTTTCACCTAAGTGGATTAAAAAAAAAGGCCGACATCAAAATGCACTTAGCATGGTCGTCAATTTTTACCTCGCGACGTAAAACATCGATTTTTCACGTTCGAGTTCTTACGCAATTATGCTGTCATTCGATTTTCAAAAGCATCATTGGTAATCTCGCAGGCGATGAGAATTGATCAAAGTAGCCGCGGCTAAATATCGCCTTCCTTGATTTCAGATCTCAAACATTCTTCTATCTTTCATAATCAACTCAATGACTTGTTTGACGCTTGACTTTCATTGCTGTGTTTATGTAAAGAGTGTTTGCCTTTTTCGACATCGTTGACGTACTCTGCAAACATCGAAGCATGGATAGCGAATCATTTCTCACGCGTTATATATAAAACTGCACGACTGCAGAGCTACGCGTTTCGGTTATCCAATCAGTGACTCGATGTCCGTCCTTTGAATGGTGTATGTTCATCTGCGAGTGAATGAGAGAGAGAGAGAGAGAGAGACGCTTTCTCTTTCTCTCTTTCTCTATATATCTCTCTCTCTCACGCGTCACTCTTGACAAAAATAAACTACTACGTAGTGCGTAGGGGTGTTTTCTCTTTGTGCACGTAGTTATTAATCAAGTTCCGATGAGATTTCGCGAAATAAAGGGAGAAAAAAAGATACACGCGTGCAGAGGCCAGAAACAGAAGAAAGCACGTAAGTATAGCAGTGGCCGTACAACCTTGACAAGGTTCTGTCTCTCTCCCACTACCAGACATCATGCTTTCGTTCCGCCAGCTGCTGCTACCTACTTCGATCTTGTTCTCTCGTCCTCCACGCGAAGGGCATGCGCGCCCTTTTTGTTATGACGCGTAAACGAACGGCTAGAAAAGGTTTTCCGATACACTAAATACAAATGCATTTAGAGCGTTCGCTGAACTATTTAGTTTTCAACAACACTTTGAAGGATGCAATCAGTGGGCAGTGAAACTGAATCGTACAAGTAACTACATCACTGCATTGCTCGCAGTCTACTATAAGAAGCGGTAGCAACAATGTTTACTCGTGGACACGGAAAATAAAAATAAAGAACGGATCAATGAGGATTAAAGAAAAAAAATTAGAACGACAATGTGGGGCAGACCAAAGGTAGCTTTGAGATGGATATATCGCGTTCGCAAACAAGTTTTGCACTCATGAATTTTCAAAGCTACGAGCGAGCTTGGCCAGTGGCTAGCAAGGCAATCAATGGAGCGTGCTCTCGGTTATCGTACAAGCTCGTGAGATATGCAAATCCGTGCAGATAATAATACCTGATGGGGCATTTCGTCTGACTATCGATATCCGAAGGACATTAAAAAGTATGTAACTTCGGCGACGACATGCGACGTGAGAGTTCGAGGAATCCGAATGGCACGTGCGACGGAATATGTCTCGCGCCCGTATATATGCAGGGTCAAGAACCTTGATTGGCCCGGTCCAAAAAGGAAACCCATGCGTGTGCACGCCTATTGGACTTACCTTCGTGATGACGACGATCAACACCATGTGTGTGTGTGTGTGTGTGTGTGTGTCTAGGAAAATTAACTCATTGGGTCACTGCATCGTGCCGACAAAGGTAACAAAATGTAGCGCGCTTATTTAACCGTGACACACCGTTGTTGCTGTCGCGCCAGACGAGAACCGACTCGACTACGCTGTTCGCGCGCTCTTCCTTTTGTAACGCGTGCTTTTAGACGCGGAAACTGCCAGCAAACGCCGAGATTGGTGGACGCCAGCTTTGGAGATTCGTTTGATGATCGAGAGGATTGATGTCGAATCCACGATCTTCTCGAATGAAACGATGATAATGATGATGATACCTCTCAACACGAGGTGTTCGGCACACTCGCGTATGTATCGTGTACGGTGGTGTAGTTTTCTAGGTCGTCGTGTACGTTTAGTAGAGGCGGCTTCGACGATGTCACGACCGTTCTATGACTGAGAATCGGGTAACAGACAGTCAGAAACGTCACAGAACTGGCGTGATGTCTTGCGGGAGATTCAAAATTTATTCTTTACGGCGAGATCGATACACATCGAGAATGATCGCGTCGACGAACGAACTTGACGTGGAAATTGTCGCGAAATTTTACTTTTCTCGTGCGTGCTGAAATATTCGTGAACGCGGGAGTAGATTACAAGCGACACATTGCACTCGAGCATCAATTATTCGCCCGCCGGCTGCTGCGAGGAGGTACTTTCGAGAATAATCTGACAAAGCTGTTGTACCCTCTCGTGCACGCGGCTTCTCGCGTGGATTTTACCATAAGGCATACTAATGGGCCGGCTTAACGCGATATCTTCTTTATTTTTTCTCGTGATTTGTTAATGTAAGGCGCTTCTTGCTATTTTTAGATAATTCAGCTAAACATTCGTTGCCGTGGGTGAAGCTTTAAAACGAGGAATCGGATTGCAAGATTTATCGTATCTATCGATTCTTTTTTTAATTTTGAGTTCGATTATTAAAGATTCAAAGGTGAAAAAATCTTAAGGTTGCTTGAATAATCAATATTCACATAATTCTTTGCTTGCACGATGTATACCGAAAACTCACGTATTTTTTTTACAATTGTATGGCATTTGTATACAATTGTTGTTGATTATTTTGGAAGCCGCGTAACGCGTGATTAAATGCAAGAGAGAGAGAGAGAGAGAGAGAGAGAGAGAGAGATTATATTTTTTTAGAAATTTAGGTACGGGAAAATATAAATACGAGCATCTTAAATTTTTTATTACTATAAGAAAGAAACGAAGCTATATTTTCCTATGTATATATATGAATATAATGAGGCATTTAAATTAACTTGTGGTAATAATTTTTGTTTTTTTGCTGTCGAATATTCGTAGTACCTTAAAGCCAATCTGCTATAGATCGTTCGATCGAAAAAGGTTTATCTATTTATATTTCAAAGATAATGTAGATTTTCATTCGAGTTTTAAAACCGCAAAATGCACTATAAAAATTTCATTTATTAGATTTCCTCAAAAGAGAAAATGTCAAAAGAATTCAATTTATATGACGGAATTAGATAGGACACTCCTGGAGTTGTTCTTTGTAAATATAAAACCTAGAAATTGATAAAATCACAGATAAACGAGCAAATAATATTCTTCTTTTTACGACCTCTTGTGCGTTGTTTCCCAAAAAGAGGTAAACATAAGAACGTTTAATCACGTGGCTTTTTGTGTTAGCGTCACCGATACTAAAATACGCAAGTTTTTATATGTGTCGTGCTGTACATTATTTTAGACAGAAGATTACCTGTACTGGTAAAACGATGATCGATAATCGACGCGACTGAGATCATAATTGAGGAGCGTAAACCGGGTACTCAATCAGCGCTTCCTTTTTGCGTGGCCTTTTTGCGTGTAGGAAATAGAACAACTTTTAGTTCTACTTTTGATAGAAGGATATCTCAAGTTTAATATGTTTGATTCATGCAAAGCCGCAATCGACATACGTTTTGTTGTGAAATCTATGAAAATATTCATTCGCTAATACAATAGTTTTCACCATACACCGTCTTCCGCGTAAAATGACTGAAAATAACCATACGCAGAAATACTTTAATACTAACTCGACACGTGCCACTAGAGAGAGATATATCGTATTCAATATTATTCGAAAGATAAGCCAACGATATAAAAGAAATCGTTCAATTTAAAAATGACTACTCAAAAATGTAATTATCATACGCGTCAGTCATACAATATACAATGCGAGTGCCTATTGTCTATCTTATCTCGGTAATCGCGTCGTAATTTACAACTTCTATAATAGGAATTATAAAAAACTTTTTTCCTCTTTACGTAACAGAAAAGGCAATTCAATTATGTTCTTGTCACTTGCGTTATTAACAACAAGGTATAGAATACATTGATGGTATTTTTAATAATTATACATAGAACGTCGCACGCGCGTGTAATGAATCAGCTGACTTCCGAAAAAAAATCTTATGAATGGAAATCAGCTGCTACACGCGTAAAAACCGCATGCTACATATAAAGCTCGAGAAGGAAAAACAATTTTTCGCCATGGTCCATGCCCCATAGTCTATCAGCTTAGTTGGATAATTATCATGACACTAATTGTTTTGGCTGCATATTTACACACGCTCACTGGAAATATCAGTTATCGTTTGATTTGAAAATAAGTAGTCTGTGCACATGACATAGTAAGTTTCAACTTATGATATCTTTACATGGTGTGAGAAGTCAGATGTTTTTTTCATCGAATATAAATGTTCATTTCCAATCTCATCTATAGATTTTGTCTATTAGACGACCTCACATTTAAGTATGCAGCGGAATAGTTCACATAACCTATTTTCCATTAATAGTATTACAATGATTATTTGGTGAGAAATTGTAATTTCTTTGTCTGATACAGTTGCGATTATAACGTGTTTATTCAGAGTTTTTGTTTTTTAAATATCGCGCTTCTCTTACTATTTTTATCGTAATATTATTATTAGTCTGAACTGATCTGTACCTGCTATGTTAACAAACTTTTAAGACATACATATATACAACGTGGCTTATCAAATACACAGAACAATTGAAACTTCAATATCAGTTTTCTTGATATTATTAACGTAGTGGGCGATTTTACGCTGTATATAGGTAGTGGAGTAATTAAACCACAAAAACGTCATTGTATTTCAATGGCATTCCAAGACTATTTGCCTTATTATGCTTCTGGAAAAGTTGTGCCTGGCTTTGGAAGAGGATCAAAATCACTTGGATGTCCAACGGGTAACGTTTTTCTTGAATTTGCATTAATGACATTAAATTTTATTTTATAATCAACTTGTCATTTGTCCAGTAAAATATTTTCATTTAAAATTAACGTTATTTTTTCAGCTAACTTTCCAGAAGAAGTTGTTGAAGCTCTTCCTACTGAATTTGAGACAGGAATTTATTATGGATGGGCCTCATTGAACAAAGCAATTTACAAAATGGTCATGAGTATAGGATGGAATCCATTTTATAATAATGATAAGAAATCAATGGCATGCAAATTATTATTTTTTGAATTTATATTACTAAACATTATAATTATTACCTATAATCTGTGTATTATCTTTTTTTTATTATAGGAAATACATTTACTGCACAAATTTGAAGAGGATTTTTATGGTAAAGAACTGAAAGTTATAGTATTAGGCTACATTAGGCCAGAAAAGAATTTCTCTTCTATGGGTGAGTTTCAATATTCCTGTGAAGGATACATTAACTATTTGTTGTTTATTTAAAAAATTAATGTATGACATTGTTTCAGACGAACTTATAACAGCAATCAAAAGTGATATATCTATAGCTAATAAGTCTCTTGACGAACCAAATACAATCAATTATAAAGAAAACCCATTTTTGAACAGTTAAGATGAAATAAGTGCTGAAAATTTTGTTAAAAAATGCCTAAATGAAGTTATTACAATTTAGTTTGATAAATTATATAGATAAGATATATTTTAATTCAACAAAAAAACTTATAACAAACCTAATAATACAATGTATATGCTTAAGAACTACGTATCCATATTAGCTGATGGTGGTGGTGGAGGTGGCGGTGGAGGTAAATTGATAGGAGGTATCAGAGTTGGCGGGAAACCAGAAAATTCTGCTGCATTGACTTGTGGTAACTGATACTGTGGATTCCACTGCACTTGAGAGAATCCAACGTTTTGCATTTCTACTGGTGGCATTTGTGCTGGATTAAGATAATTGTATGGCTGCATATGATGATATGATGGTTGTGGTGGTAGCATCCACTGATTACTTGGGTATGAATTGTACTGATGCCAAGGATTTGGTTGTTGATATCGTAAACGAGACCACAGGTGATGCGTTCGATAGAATGGCCGTGGATTTTGCGCATGAGGATATGACTGGTGTTCTCGGTTAGTGTTCCAAGGATGATTTGATTGCCAACCGGTATTATTGCCTGAAAATAATTTTTAAAGTGGCGATATTATGCACAAATGTAGAAATATTTTATGTAACATAAAACTATTTTCTTACCACGTTTGCGTTTTACTGGAGTTTCTGAGGATCCTTCTTTAGATTTGTTAGTGCTTTCACTCTGTTTATTTTTCAAACTTGCTAAGTAAGCCTGTTCTTCTTCATCATCTGAAAACTGTGGAGCTTCATCTTCTCCAATATCATCTGCAGCTTTCATTCTAAAAATAATTAGTATAAATTAACTCATGAGTTGACATTTTGGTTAATAAAATATCTTACTTTGTAAGTTCACTCAGAAAGACTAAAGATGTATACTGTGTGTTTGGGCAATAATACACTGTCATTCCTACTTTAATATCCTTCTCTTGAATCTGTACCGAACTATTGAATCTCACACAATAGTGCGGCTCAGCAACTTGACCAAACACATCAAATATACGTCCCAAAGCTCTTTGACCTTTGTCAATAAATAAGACTGTATCTAAATTTAAAGTTGGTTTACCAGGCTTGGGACGAACAACTACCATTTGCTCAACAGTCCAAGCAATCTGGAAAACAATTATTTTATTTTTGTTGTTGAAAATAAAAAACAAAGAGTAAAGTAATTACCTCTCCCAATGGATCACACAAAACCTCAGGTACACTGATCGTTAAGTCCTCAATTGGTGGAAGATCATCAAATTCACTTTTTGGTTTTGTGAATTTCTTCTGTTTATTCTTTACATTCCTAAAAATATCAAAATTTATAATGAATTTACTTATACATTACTGTCAAATTTCAGAAAAAAAAAGCATGCCTTACTTGGATTGTGTTGCATCGTCCGATTCATCATTGTCAGATGCATTCTTTTTACTTTTTTCACTAGACTTAGCATCGCTATCATTGGAATCACTACTACTCGAGTCACTTTCACTATCAGAAGATTCAGCACTTGAAAGTATTATTTCCTTATTTCTGTAGTCTTTGTTATTTATTAAATCTGCATTTTGATCATCTTCATTCTCAGAACCTGAGCTGTCATATTGTGCAGCTATAGCTGCCAAAGAAGTTTGCTTATCTAAAAATTACAGATAAAATACAATTTACATTCACCACAGCATATGTTTGATGATAATTTTATTCGAAATAAACTTACCAATATAAAACATACCCCTTGTCATGTTATGACTAGCTAATTCGTTGCTTAAATTTGTATTCTTAATGTTTTGTTTATTCACATATGCATTGTACTCATTACTTTCAATGATAATTTCTTCACTTAAAATAAGCTCTTCTTTAAGAACAGAATTGTTATCACTGTACATTACATTGTTCAATGAAGATTGTCCTAAGCTTGACATCATATTAGAAGGAATGCTATTAACGTACAATAAAGTATTACTTGCTTCAGGATTGCCTTTCCTTACATTTGCGTAATCGTGTTCATCCATTAATTACGGAAGACCGGTAGTGCCATCGGACGACCGACTAGGTTACCAACGAAAAGTCGCTCTTTTTTCGGGAGACGGGGTATGTTTAGTAGATACTTTCGTAATCGTAACACGAGTAAATTGATGTTTGATTGTCAGAATCACGCAAACACGTGGTCGCTACAAACACACGCCATTGCGTTATAATATATATGTATATCTTTTACATCGACAAACCGGTTCAGATTAGATGAAAGATACAATGCGTAACAGATGATCCGAAATAAACGACTCTCTAATTTTCAATAATTAGTATACAACGTTAATCACAAATGTTTTTATGTTGCAAGAGGCAGTGAAATTGCCAAAGCAATAGTCAAATAATATTTTATGTGTTGAATATCAACACAAACTATACTCATCAATCAATATTTGTACCTAACCTCAAAATCGCGCCACGATCTCACGCCATCTCGCGTCACGAATTGTACTCAACTTTTTTTCTCGTTAAAAATGTTCTCGTCCTACATATAAAATCACATACGCACACATACACGTACACGTGACTATATACTTTACTTTCGTGATACAATCTCACGCAAGCTTGCCTCGCGATAGGTGGTATCTGTTTTGAATGTGTGTGCGTCATATAGGTACCTGTATATGTGCTGCGTGTGATGATGTGTACGAACTTTAGTCGTCGTCGTTGGGGAGGACAGATGTTTGTTGTGTAACGTCATTTTCCTATACGGCAGGTTTGCTTGGCGTCGGAGGGGCGCAATATTTTTAAAACGTAAGCTGCAGTATTAAAAGTTTTAACGTACTTTATCGTTTACTTGTTCTTCGTTTTGCTTCTTCGAATAGAGCTGCATGTATAACGCGTATAGATAACAACGTTCGGCGATATAGTCGCGACCTTGACAGAGAGAGGCGGCCACCCCGACGCTCTTTCGTTTTCTCTGCCTCGAGGTTAATTTTTGTGTTGTGTTTCCTTTCGAACGGCAATTTCTCTGATAGTTGAAGAACGCGAGTAAACGGGATTTTCGAGATATTGTTTTTGTTGTGCGTGAGAGTGTCTGCTCCACATATCTTTTAATGCTTCTTAGCGGTGAAATGATCAAGTGATTTGCTTTTTCGATATACATAGTTGCCATAGTGCTCTCAAGTAGATGCACAGTGATGTAGTTATACGCAGCGCAATCGTTTGTTACACATCTCTTATGTACGTTTAAGATTATTTCATCAGCTCGTTTTATCAGCTGAGATAGTACGTAAATTGCTTCGTGGATAAGAACAACAATTTATATTTATATTCACGTTGAATAGCTCAACTTCTTAAACTTTGTTATTTTTATTAGTGAATAAACAAAAACATTGGATTGTTTGTGAAGTTAATACTTATCAGTGTAAAGTTCCAATAATTTTTCCAATTAATTGTCCTAACATTTTACTCTTACTCATTTGCTAATATGTTCATTTTTGTTTGCTCTACCTTGATTTAGATAAAAGATTTCTGTTAGTTGCTACTTCATACAATGCACTGTTAATTAAAAATCCATTAGTATTTAAAATAATGATTACCAAATAATGATTAGTAATTTTTCCTATTTAGCATAAAATCAAACAGTGTTTTAATAATAATAAATTCTTATTAGTTTTTACATCAGAACAAGTCAAAAGCATCTACTTATCTGATAAAAAAATGTTCATACTAAATGTTGATTTGTGTGAGACAAATTTATAGAAATAATTAATATTATAGCAAAGAAGTAGAGTCAGTTTTGGAAATACAAGAGCTCCAAAGTTTGATGGAAAATGTAATGTACCCACTAACTCGTATAGCCACATGGCTGATTTGCACTACACCTCCATGCCTCGAGATCTGTCTAATAAATCAGTGTCTCCACTACACTTGTCCGAGGTAATATTCTGAAATACTTATATTTTTATTGTATGGTTTTTTGTAAATTAAAGTATTCATCTACATCTTGTGCTTTTCTGATAAAGTATGGACCCAATGATTGTTCAGACAAATCATATAGTCCAGACTCAAATTCATTTAGTGGACTTTTGTCGCCTGACAATGTGAATTCTAGTGATAAAAATTCAAAAGAGCGGAAAGAGCATAGAGAACGTTGTAGAACATATAGGAAGTACTCAGAACTGACACAGCCCACTATATCTAATTGTTATGACAATTATGGGTGTGTAATGTGTATCTTTATCATAACGTCATTTTCTCTAACAATATTTCCACATTTTTATCTTATAATTGACTTCTCATCATTGTTTTTTCAAGATCTGTGGTGTCCAAATCAAATTCGTTGCCTGGACGCGGCAATGCCAATTCACCCGTGCCAAACGCTACCGTGGCCACCGAGATCCCGACTGAAGATCTAGCAGGACAATTGACATTACTCGACGCCTGCGTCTTCAAGAGTATACAACCAGAAGAGTTATCTAGTTGTTCTTGGAACAAAAAGAATAAACTGACGGTTGCTCCAAATGTCGTTGCTTTTACAAGACGATTCAATCATGTTAATATTACTTTCTTAAATTCTATCAACCATGATATAGTTATTTGTGAAGTTAATGAAAGAATTATTGTCTACAGGTGAGTTTTTGGACTGTTCAAGAAATCTTAAATGCTCCAACTGCGAAGCAGCGAGCCGAGATATTGGCACATTTTATACGAGTTGCTAAGAAACTTTATGAGTTGAATAACTTACACTCATTGTTTGCTATTATTTCTGCAATGCAAAGTGCTTCTATTTACAGGTACATCCTTACGATTGTTTGTTGATACAGTATATTTGTGATTTTTCTAATTGTCATTTGTAAAATTTTTATAGACTAAATAAAACATGGGCATGTCTAACGAAAAAAGATAAAACGACTTTCGACAAACTTGCTGAAGTGTTCAGTGATAAAAATAATTGGATGAATCTTAGAGAGCACATGGATAGCATTAAACTGCCATGCATACCATATCTAGGATTGTTTCTCACGGATCTTGTATATATCGACATGGCACATCCAGCAACAATGGTAAATTTTGTTATTTATTTAATTGAAATTGTATTTCAAACGGGTATAAGTACGAGTTTTCTTTTATTATTTTTAGAATGGTGACAATCATCAGCGAATCTTGAAGATGAACGCTGTTTTGACCAAAGTAGCAATGTTTCAAGCCAGCAAATACCCTAGTATAGTACCATTAATCGATGTTCAAAGATATTTAAATAACGTTCGATACATAGAAGAATTACAAAAGTTTCTCGAAGACGACCACTTCAAGTAAGACAGTTTCGTTTCGACTACCAATTTTTTATTACATCGTATTTCAACGTTGAATAATATCGTAGGCTTTCGATGAAACTCGAACCAAATTCTCCAGTGCCGTCGTCAAGCAGCAGCAAAGAGTCTGTAGAAAACATGGCAACAGGAGTAGCAGCTTTGTCATTATCGCCAGCGAGAGGCTGTGCCGGTTCTTTACGTTTGCATGCAGCGTCGGCCGCCAATAAGTTTGTTCCTGGACATCGAAAGTGCCGCAGTCTTGGAACTAAGTAAGATCGATATCTATTCGAAAGTTTTCCTGCTTCAAGAGTGTGTTTTCGTTTTACTTTTTAATTTTTCTATCGAAATGTCAACGAACGACTGATAGGTGGTGGAATTGGTTTTATTTCTAATGTATTAGAAAGGACTGATAAGTCTTAACACACTAACATACTTTCAGTTAAGTGAGTAATTGCACAATTAAGGATATTAGATTGGTCTGATCATTAAGTAGAAAGTATCGTGTTGGAATAGATAAGCTATTTGAGATTTGCTTTTATTTTGAATAATCCATAATCATATTTTTTCCATTCACTAAAATTTTATAATAATTTTAAAAAATATTAATAATAATTTATTTGGAATAAAATCTACATAATTAGTCAAGCTATTGACGTGTTTCGCTTTTTTTCTTCCAATGAAATTGCCATATAAGCATTTTCAATTAAATTTTGACGATGAACCTTTGCGAACTTGTTAGATTCCGTAGCACGAGTCTTCCACGCAACTTCCATAAGCAAGGAGGCAAATTTGGACCTAACTTAACAACTCCTGGGTGAGTCCCAAGAGTCCGCGTCTCAGGGTTATACGAATCAACTCATTTACATTAGAGCTGCTTATTGCTTTAATTTTAGTTAATGATTTTAATAGTGCTATATCATCAGCGTGTCATTTCCTAGTTTTTTTCTTTTCATTTCATGTCTTTGCATGCGACCGTACACTTTATCAATCGAGTTCATTTGAGTAATGTGAGTTCTACATATTAATTTCTCGTACATGTATAAATAGAAATGTTTATAGTTATTGGAATAGATTAATTGTGGTCTTATTAAAATTATAGTACGTATAGTTGCATGTAAATGATAGTTAAATAGCGTTATATATTTTGATTCTACGATAAACCAGGCATGAATAATTATAATTGAAACGACAATATAGGTAACGATTGTTTCTTGAAACCTCATAACAACTCGATATTGAATATGATTGTTATTTCAAATTTTCTAATTACATGTGAATTATTATCGTGTCAATTTTCCTTGCATCGAAACCATTTTTATTTAACGACCAGCCAGCCGAGCACTGCCATGCATGAGATTTATATGTACGACTAATAGACAGGAAATATTAACTTTCATTTTGACTCATTACAGTATATTTGGTAAGGCTATTATGCCTTTGGAAACAAATCACGTAGCTATACGTCACTTGTTGGACGACTCGGTGCTAGAAGAACCTCACTTGGCAACACAGATCGTTGAACTCGATCAGAACTCGCCAGGTTCGCCTGCTGATGCTATCAATGATGATTGTAGTTTGCTTGCGAAAAATAGGTATGAATATGAATAAATAAAATGAGCTTTTATTATTATTATATTTATTATTAATATATAATTATTAGCTAAATAATTTTTTTATACTTGATATAAATACGTGGTATCATTGGTATGTGATCAAAAATTGGCTGCACTGTACATTCTTATGATTAGAAGAATTTTTTGTTTAAGGTAAGCTTTAGTGTCGGATATCCAAGAATCTCACCGAATAGAATTTCATGCAAACTCATGATTTTTCAATTATTGAAATTTTAGCCAAAATAAATTTTTTACTATCATCATTAACTTCCAATTTTTTTCCTTCGTAGTGCGCCAGTTTTACCATGTGAAATCGATGGTTCGATACAACCACGCTGTATAATGCAAGGATCGTTGAGGCGAAAAGTGGTTTTAAGGGATGGACGTAAAACGGCAGTTTCGACCTGGCAGAGATACTGGGTTCAGCTTTGGGCATCCTCGATCGTCTATTTCTCGCCTAAGTGCTTCAAAGGGTAAATTGACCCTCACTCGAGCGTAAATTGGTTATGGGTGGATTTTTTAAAACAGATAATGATAATTGCTTTCATTAAAGCAGGCATGAACGAGGAGACTTTAAAAGAGAACCGTACAAAATGGTTTCGGTGCTGGGATGGATTGTCGAGCCACTGGATGATACGTTTCACGGAGATACTTTTTTACTTATCGATCCAAAGAAAGGTACTTTTTTTGCAAATTTAGAGTTTATTGGTTTTCGAATGATTCAATCTTTGATCTTGAAGGAAACGTATACAAATTCCGCGCGACATCAAGCGAAATAGCAGATCAATGGATGAAAGAACTGCGAGCAACAGTTCGCGGAATTAACGATCGCAAACCCATCCCGGCGAACCTAATGTCATTTGAATGAGAACAAGCTAAGATACGACCTCGGCGTCGTCTCTTTTCTCTACGGCGAAATTAAACTCATATCATAACACACAATCATAGTCATACGAATTTTTTGAAGAATATTTTAAGGGTACATTGCGTCTTCGAAACTTCATTACTCTAACTTAATAAGCAATAATTTGATTCGAAATTGGTGTTTAATACTGTGACTATTTTTAAGGACTTGATGAGCCGTTGAATAGCGCATTTTTAACCCGTATCGATTTGTTCAGCTTTAATAATAAAAAACTAATTGTCGTGTACTGTTCTGTGTATCAAATTTATCTAAGCTTTGGTTTTTTTTTTTTTTTTTTTTTTATATTCAGTTCACGAATAAATTAAAAAAATAAGTTCTGTTTGATTTTTTTATGTTCATATGTAAAACAAGGTAGATTTTAATTCTCTTTCAATGTAGATGTTAGGTGGACGTACAGAACAGAAAACTAATGTAGTCACTTAAGACTGTTTATAAAGTACAACATCGAGCATTTTTAATGAGCAGTAAATAGAAGTAACATTAACAATTTGGATTGAAAAATTGCTCTAATAATAAATACGTTTTGAAATAAAAGCTAATAGCCAAATAATAATGTTTGATGTATTCAAAGTAAAGCTTTTCATTACTTTTCATGTTGTAGTGCGATTCGTCTAAACCGCGAATGATTCTAAAAGTAGACCAAAATACAGTGTTGTGCGCATGTCTTGTGAGCTCCGTCAATTACTAGAGCGAAAGAAAACGTGCGTTTTTATTTCTTGTCAAAGTGTATCGTGGAAAACAAGCAACTTTGTACGTTCACTTTTTTTACATTAATCATTTAGGTTTTTTTATAGCAAGTACTAATTTATTTGTGATTCTACATTGAAAGAATTTGTTTATCAAAGTGCAAGCAGTCCTTTTGCAGTTATTGCACTCTAAATACTCTTTAGTTAGTAGGAATTTCTTCTGCGATAGTTGTACTGACATATACTTCTTAAGGTGCCACCAAAATGATGAAAACAATACTTGCCAGGTACGATATGTGAACGGCCAACATAAGTTTCTCGACGGACATGTGCAAAGCTTATTGTACGATCGATAAACTCTCAAGGTTACCGTTAACTGTCACTTACTAACACTTTGTATAATCTTCGTACTCATTATCGAGTCTCGAGCCTCGTTGAACTGAGTATTTTTCTTTTCAAAAGATTCAACAGACGCTTTAAGGGGAAGACGATTGACAGTAATACATTATTGATAAAAATAACATAAAAATAATAAAGTGATTTTTATGGACTTTTTATTGATTCGTACGAAGGAATCTCGTCATATTTCCTCTCGATATTATTAATAAGCCATTAGATCAATAATTTTAGATTAGATGAAATCAATATACTTTCTCATCTCGTTGATGGCTAATCTTTATAATTTCATGAACGATTTTTTATAAATGTCAATAATAATATCAGCGTTTATAGCTTATTTGTGTAACAGCTACTGTTTTAAAGTTTCAAAAGATAATATCATTTTTAATTCTTAAAAATAGTGGTGCAATTTTTAGAAATGATTGAAGCAATCTTCAGATATGAAATAATTTACTGCGACATTCTAGAAACAAAGCTAGATATCTAAATATTTTCATCGAATGCCTAATACATACAAGTATTAACATTATTTTATCGATACAGTCAATAACGATGAGAAGTATGATAAGTCGCATAAACTTTATAGCCTGAACTAACGTAAATGAATGAATGTTCTTACAATATAACTATAGATTAAATGTTCGCTAGAATTAGTCGCATTGGTTGTCAAATCGGTCGTCACTTGCGAAGCACATTTTCGCTTTGTAAACGCGTTCTTCTCGTTATTTTTTCGATATGTGCATGCGCCTACATATGTATTTATTTGATTGATGTAATACCTGTAAACAATTTGATTTTGTAATAGCGAGGATATTTAATGTTTTCAACTAGAGTAGATGATGAATACAAAAGTAAAAAAGAAAACATATGTATGTTCAACAAACCCTTTGGTCGCTTAGTCGAAGAAAAGACTGATTTGCCTGCTTCTCGAGCGTTATTAAAACTATTTTCAGCTCAAAACGATGTGTAATCTGCGCTTATTTTTCTTCTCACTTGTATCTTACATCGAAAAATATTCACGTTTGTACCGATTTGTATCGTACAAGAGCGCATATTTTGTATACTGCATAAGTAAGATGTATGTGTATCTAACAAAGGGCGACTTCGTCTGCTTTATGGATAAACCTGACTGATTCTGTAAAAGCAATTCCAACACGATTATTTTTTGTTTGTTTCTTTTTTCACATGATTTCGTCTAATGTTATTTTCGTCCAGTGAATATGTATATCTGATTGATGAACAATCGTAGAAACATGTAACGTGTATTCCGCTTAAATATTTAATTTGAGATTAACCGTGCGCCTTGTGACTAACTAACACAATCATATACATGTTATATAAAGGGTAAATAAGCTTCTTAAAATCAATGCAAAAACATAAAATTTCGATTTTTGTCTAGTTATGCCATTTCCAAAGTTTCTCTCTGCGTATATTTGTAAGAGAAACTTTAAAACATCGCACCGTACATTATATTATATACATATACTAATCAACAATGATTATAGATTGATTGTCACAATTTTCACGTACACGCAATTATTTATTAATTTTGTTGTTGTTGTTGTTTCATTTACACATATAGCAGAATAGATTTAAATTTAGGTAAGATTGACGCTCGACCAAACAAATTACAGTACAATCCATGAACTTGTACATTTTTTGTTTTTAAGAAATTTTTCTGTTCTTGTTTGATTGTTTTGCTGATGTGTTGCGCTTTGATTTTATCTTACAAAGAATGAACCGATGCCATATTATATTGTACAATTACTTATTCTTATTTTTCGTGTATTTTAGTAGATACGTTCAACGAAAAATTATGGAATACCCAGCGTTATTTATTATAGAGAAAATAAATTGATAGACTTTCTCAGTTGGTTACATCTTGAATTTCGCTGTGCGTTTTCATAATGAATTCGTTTTTTTTGTTGTTACATTGATTATATTTTGTTATGTAGCGATATATATCACTGCTCACAAAAGCACATTTTGAAGAAATAAAATTAGTTTTAAATAAAATTTTTCATGAACTGTTTCATTGTGGCCCTTACAATATCGGCATTTTGCTAAAAAATTTACAGATTGAACGTAATAATACGCTACAGGTATACTTTTTTTTCGTTTTATAATTTATTGAGTAGTTTTAGCTAACAATAATAATGCAAATAAATGAGTTATAAGCGTATTTAAATACTTTTTTTATCACTCATAAAGCTGTTGACTTATTTATTTATAAATCATTGAAATTTACTCAGGAAACGTAAAAATGTTGATATTTTCAAACTTCACTCTCATATTCTCTCAATAACACCAAAATATTTTATTCAGTATATAGTTTCAAAGCAAAATATTGTTTGTCTGATTTATACCGAATCAAAACGGACAACACATCTCTCCAATATTTTCAAGCTCAACGCATTTTCCAGTATGAGGAAAGCAAAACTTTTTGAAGAGAATGAGTGAGAACATTTTGGTGGTAGTAAGGTGATAGTGCGACTTGACGAACTGGTTCATCGGCTTCTTCACCGTCTGAAACATAAATGCAATGCTATACACACATTCCATCGCAGAGATAAAACGATCACCAAAATATTTCCGAAGCTCGCGCGGCGCTTTACTAGACGCCTCACTTTGTTATCTGTCCGATTTTTGCTGTTGAAAATAATTTTTTACCTGAAATTTCTCCTTCAAGTGTTCGGGTATTAATATTAACATGGGGTATTAATAACATCGGGTATTAATATTAACCTAATTAGAATTTTTCTCGGGGTTCAAAACGATGCTGATTCATGACCAGTACAAAAGACATGAAATCGTTTCGTTCTGAAAAAAAACCATTTAAAATGCTATATAAATTATTGCACGAAAGGCTTCGCTACCGCAATGACGTCAAGTAAACAGCTGTTAATTTGGTTAGACAAACCGAGTATTTGCAGTAAACGCACCTGACTTCAGCATCGACTGAACTACCTTTTTCCCGGGCGACCATTTACTTTTGGACGAGCGTCGAGTCTTAGCGATGAAAATAACACTGAATGCTAAAGCTAACGCCGATTGAATCTTCATTGTCCAGTTGTACTTCCAGTCGGAGAACCACTAGTGGGCACTAAGAAAGAAAGTTTCTACATCAAAAAATTGATTTTGGATGGTACGAGACTGATGTTTGGGATAAAATTGACAAAACAACTAATTTTCTAGTGCGACTATGTATTCTTTTGATATCGATTTCAGAGAATAGGTCATAGATGAAGACTTTTTTTGTGTCGACGTTTAAAATGTTTTCTATGTTGGCTCTCACAATATGTAGATCAAAGTGATTATTGAGTATGAGAAACCCGACAATTGAAACATTTACTGTCTCTTCTAATATCTAGTCAATGCATGACGTTCTATAATTTTTTTCTAGCAACCTTCTTCCAAATATTATCTACCCTATCCACATATTACCCTATTCTAAAATGTTTCACTAGTGAAATTTTCGAAACATCGTAGCACCTTGCAATACTCTCGAACTGACAATTCGTTGTAGCATCACTTGCGGCTTTCTTTTTAATCTTAAGGAAGGATAAATCCTGACTTACGATAAGCTTGCGTGTTCGATAGCTAGAATTTATATGCGGGGTTGTAAATCTTCGTCTATTAAATTGGCGCAGAGATGATAAGAATCGTTGCTTTTCTAGGCAATATACTAGGGAAATTACAATGATTGCTTACGGGAAATTCACTTAAACAATTGATCGATTAGAACGATATTGTCTGCGTCAATAATGAGAATTGACTTGCCTTTATTCGATACTATTCTTGCAATCACGGCTGCCCATATGGAAATGTCTTCATAAATGTTGGAGTTGCTTATATAACAATGCCCGCGCTTTCTTTGATCGAATAGCTATAATGTTTAATTCAGGCGTTTCGCACCAGTGTATAGTGCGTACAGTAATGAAATTCTTGATTTTTTTCAAAACCGATTGCCTGCTACCTTTACTAATTCACAAGAAAAAAGTTCTCCTGCGTATTGTTTGTGTACCATGATATATTCATTGAGAGCACGCGCTTTGCTGAATCAATCAAACTTCGCTCTACACACCATCGAGGAATGCTCTTGCATATTCGAATGAATCAACCTTTTTGTTTTTATTGCATCTTACGTTTCAAATAAGTGATGTTTATCTGTGCAACAATAGCAATGAATCGTATGTGTGAGAAGTTTTGGACAACACCGAAACTACGTACTACATCAAACATTCAGAAGCGAAATTAACGAGAAAAACAAAAAAAAGATCCGCGGGAAACGATGTAGGTTTGAAGAGTGACGGTATATACGTATGCTAAAACACGAAGATATATGGTATCCCTGGCAACAGTTCTAACAAACAAGCCCACCACGGATAATACACTTATATATTCGGATCATATATGGTACATATGAAAAAATGTGAAAGGTCTTTGGGAATTGGTCTTTCATCACGATATGAATTTTTAAGCTCTCGAATTGGAATTTGTTGCAGTTGTCGATTATATATTTATCGATTGAAAAATTTTTGTGGGAAATTGGCGTGCAAGATACATTTGAACAACAATGCGATTTATTAATTGAGGAATGCATAGAGCATTTTTGCATTTTTAACATAGGCGTTTTAACATTTTTGCATCGAATATAGGATCTATTTCGTAAAAATGTTCTATTTTATCAACAATTTCAAGTTTTTATTAAATAAGCAACAGTTAATCTGTACACGAAATTTCTAACTTTTTATCTGACTGAAAATAAGTAAGAAAGTTTCGCCTTTCGTTTCTTGAATCAATTTCTTTATCGCACACTGTAAGGTGATTCCGAGTGTAACAAAACGACGTTGCAAGTTACCTTTTCCTCTCGACGAATTCTATTTTTTTTAACTTTCTCCAGATGGTGTGAACCGGAAAGTAGCATGCGAACGGGAAGTAAAAGAGAGAATAAAGCCATAACATATCGAATAATAAAAGACGAAGTAATTGTGACTAAGTGTAGAAAGGTTTAAATTATACGTTGGAGCCGTATATCCGCCTGGACAATTATTTATTCAGCGGCAAATAAAAATTTTACATCGGTTCGCCTGTTTGGTAAGTTTCAATTTTACACTCGTTCCCTGTGTCTTAATTTTCAAACAAAAGTAAAATAAGATTGCCCATTAATACTGAACAATCTCATTGATTAATCGCGATAAATGTATTTAAATATTGGCAAGCTTATCACCATACGTGAAAAAATTATGGCTAAAGCTAATGAACGTTTGCTTGTGAAAAGCACTGTCACTGTCATAAAAGTCAGGACATAAGAAAATACACGCATATGAACTTCATGCGATTTGACAAATTTCTGGATGAAAAAATTATCGTCGGTCGAGTCATATCTCAGACGTTGCACCCTCGCCCGCGCTAAACGCGGTTTGGCGCACATGAATTTCCAATGGTGGTTATTGTCAAACGACAATTACCGCACTGCGAGGAAGGAGCAATCGATGGCTTTGCCCTTGGTACATAACAATGGTAATTTTAATTACGGCCAACGTGACTTTAATGACTGTTGTGCTACCGATGACGATGTGCATTACGCGCTCGGCGAGGCCACTAATTAGTTTCTTTCCCGTAGCTCTGATAAGCGCTTGCCGCTTTGAGCGCGCAATTGTACCCGCGAAATAACCGGCCGAGCGATGTTTGACTGTTGATAGCAGTAAAATATACATGGCACCACTTCAAACATTGAAGAGCGAAACGTAGCGTTCCTTGTTTTTCTTTCATGTTTCGTCCCCTAATCTTTTCGTTACGCCATTGATTGTGTTGTTGTTATTGGTTCCTCAAAATCTTTTAAACGCATAAAACCGCGTAATCCTTGCAATAAACGTTCAACAATAAGAGTATTATTCCTGTAACGTTGGGAAAACTTTGAGGTTCGATCAAAAGCTTCGTAGGAGAAAATTCGCCAGTTTCTTACAAAGTATCGAACTGCGAGCGTAACAAACAAGTCGTCGGGGAGCTGCAACAAATGGGCTCGCTATAATTATCAACGGCTTTCGAAGGGTATATTATCGATGTGCACGTGAACAATGATCAATGCGTCGTACGTACACCATCGACGCCTCCGCCTGGTGAGCGATCTGCAATTACGAAACACAACGGAGGATCAAGTATACCTGTGCGTTCATAAATACCGCGTACTCCTCAAGTGCACAAGAAGCAACTCGACGTCAGAGTTGAACGAACCAAAAGAAAATCACGCAGCTCGTCAGCGTGTTAACCCTTTTCGGCGCATCCGCGCTGCATGCTTACAGCCAATCAAAAATTCAAGCTTCTCGAATTTCCCCGGAGAGACGCGCGAGTAGAGAGAGAGAGGTTCGGTCAATTACGGCATTTCGTTATGCGTTTTTCCGCGCGCCGATTATGAGCTTGTGGCCTCGTCCTACTGAATCCCGTGGGTTTGTTTCTCCCTCAACCCTTTTACTTAAAGCTGACGTCTGTATAGTGCAGACGACTTAAACATTCATGATTCACGTAGAAAACTTAAATGATCAATTTTCAGTGTAATCGAGTGAAGCGAAAGGGGGACGTGGCTCAACCAGGAGGGTCGGTTTGTAGTTGAGAATTGTTATGTTTATTGCGGTAGTGCATAATAAGTACCATGGATTTTAATGCTGAATAATACAAGGCTCTCATCGGAACTATTCCCGCCGAAAGACAATTGGAAGCGAGAATTCCATAAATATCAAACGAAACGACGTTCATTCGCTATCGAAACAAGTCAAAACTGCCCACTAATCTACATGCACCGTGGAACGCCAAATCGCTTATCGAAAGATTGAGCCATCTACCAAAGCGAGTGGGCGATATACTCAGCCATCAGGCAGCGTGTGTTCGCACCGTCGTACAGTCTTTCACGCGCGATCACTTATGCAGTTGCAAGCTGTTTCTTCATTTATGCAGGGAGAGCGACGTTTTTTCTCTCCTCCCTTTCTCGCGCGGCATTATATCGTTGAATCTTTACAG